AACTATATTGGCTTTTAAAGATAATTGTGCTGCTCTGCTCAATTCTGGTGAGGCCTCAAACATACAACCAAGTAGCATTTTCAGCACTAAGCCATAGGATCAATCAAGGCAAATTTGTGAGACCAGAAAGACATCTAGCATGAAAAAAGGATGAAGAAACTGGTCTTGGTTACTGTGGAGGACACAGGGGAGCAGAGGCATGATGACAGCCTTCAAATATGTAAGAAGCAGTTATGGAGACAATGCTGATCCGTGCTTTCCACATGCACTCGGAGTAGTTTAGGGAGAATTTGTCTTAATTCATAGCTATTTCTTTTTTCCTCTAATTTATAATCATTATGAAGCACTGGAAAGGCTACCTGGGGAGACTGTAGAATATTCTAATGGGAAGCTTTTAAAAGATGATCCAGGCACATTGACACCAAGCAAGAGATAGTCTTAATGTTTTTAATGTTGGCCGCATCCTGCCACAGACCATGCATCACGAAAGCTGCATGGATTACCTCTGGTCTAACTACTGCATGTTCAACTCAAAGGGGAGAAAGGCAAGACCTTCTGAAATTTAAAGAAGGAGTTCCATGTTACATGCATCCTACTGCTCCAGTGAGGTTCTCTTTGGAGAGAGAAAAAGTAGTGAAGACTGGGCTAGGAAAGGCCTGACCATGCAAACCCACTAGTCAAAATTACTACACAAGAGAAAGGAGCTGTAGTCAAGGTTACTTCACCAACAGCAACATCACAGAAGCTCCTGAAAGGAAGATTACCACGGAAACACAGAACATTTGCATGGAAGGTTCCAAACTCCTGAGATTATTGGCCAATATGTTGATTACAAGCATTATTTGATCATTTATTAATAGACATGTGAATTACAAATATGGTCTGAAGGACTGTACTCCACCCCAAAAGAAAGGAGAAGTTACATATCTCCATCTCTGAGCAGTACCATGCTCAGGATGAAGCCTTGCCTTTATAGCTAAAGCACTTTTAATGCCACCTACAAGCATCAGTGGCTTAACATTCAGAAGCATCACAAGATAATGAAGTCACTCTGGAATTGAAAAACAACACACAACACTTGTATAACAAATAAGAAAAAGGTTCCATTAAATACTCTGGCAGTATTTAGGTACAGCAGTAGGAGAAAAGCTGCAGCACCAAAGCACTTCAATGTCCTTGTTAGCTGCATGTCCTCTCTCAATAAGCAGCTTGCTTATGAGAAAGCATGCAATTCTCCAGAGGATGTAAAACTCCCACAGAATACCAAGTTGGGATGAGTTTGCCATAGGGAGGAAGTTCTTCCTAACTGCAGCTCCTGATCAGCATATATCCTTGAACATGAAGTATGATCATACACTTAATTTTTTCTTGGCCAGTGTAAATTCAGGTACTGTTCTTGTCAGTTTTCTATAAATCAAATAGTCTCGGTTGTTCTTTTTATCTTAATACTAATGGACTATGGGCTCTCCCATTCACAAGTGCACTTTCCCTTCAGTGACTATTAAATCTCTGTGGGAAATACCAGAGTGGCCATATATAGAAAGCAGTTCTGTGTTTGCAAAGCTGTCTTATAATTTAATTCAAAGAATGGAAATAAGGAAAAGGGTATATATAAAGGCATGAACTACCTTTTTGAAGGCTCCACAGACCATCAGACCCCAACAAAACAGGTCTCCCCCTTCTTAAATAAATTTACCATGCAATTTCTGCTACAATTAGTAGTACTTATCACCACAAGGGTCAGTACTAAATAATTTGGTAAGGTGTCTCATGAAATGTAATAAAGTGTGAATGAATTTGGCCCCCAAAGTCTCCATCTTGCCAATACATAGAACTTGCTGCCTAAACATACTAATTATATGTGCAGTAAATGAAACATTATTTTTATTTGAATGAGCTCTTCGTGTGACATTATGAGAAATGAAACATAGGAACACCCAATTACGTTTCTTCTTTATTTGTTATTTCAATGTCAGTTTGTGACTCGGAGAAATAGGCATAAGAACTGAAGTAGATACCACCCACCATTTGATAAAAGTAGATGTTCCAATTCCTGATCACAATTGTAATGTGGAAAATACAAAAAGCAGAACAGAAATAACTATTACTTTCATAGCACTTTTTTTGAAGCTGTCAAAGCGATTAGCAAGCATTTATTAGTCTCATAACAGCCCCATGAGACACTTAAGATACAATATTATTTAGCGGAAAGACTTTGACACTACAGCAACTAGTCCAATATGTAAATTTATGTAAAACATACAAATTACTTATTTTTAACAGGTAACCTACTTGCAGTCATGTCTTTTTCACTGCCACTGTCACCCTATCCCCTGTTTTGGGGGGATTTTTACTTATTTTACATGATCAACTACACAGAGTTCATATACTTCTGCACTGATTTCTTTTAGCTAACTCCAAACTATACAAAAGGATGTGGTTATGAATTAAAGAATATAGACCATATTGAAACAAACACAGTAGCAACCCTATTAACCTCCCTGGAATGTGGCAGGTGATAAATGCCACATTCCAGCAAAGTTAGCGCCTCTCCCTGTTTTTGGGGGGGAAGAAGGAGGTCATCTGAGGTGATCAGAGAAGTATGCAATCGGGAAGCCCTGCAGAGGATTCCTTTGGCTCCAGGATATAAAGAGAACTTGAGTCTGACTCAAAAGACCTATCTCATTAACCTCAGTCACATCAGTATAGGCCCCCCTCAGAGACAGTTAATACCTGCTCTACAAAACCAGCTAAAGGATTACATTTATCCTTAGAATAACCTTAAAAAGTTGTAAAGACAGTTCCTTGTCATGCATTACACAAACATCTAATCCTGCCATAAGAGGATGCTTCAATGCAAGTCGAAAGCAACGTTAAGGCAGGCCCATCTTACATATCACATAAGTTTGGAACTCATCCACAGATCCAAACATATTAATTGTAAGGAATATAACCACATTTCCACACCAAAATAAAAGACACAGAGCTTAATACTGCAAAGGTAAAGGCCAACAGAGAGCAACATATACTATTTCCTTCTTAGTTTTCTTTCAAATGGTTTAGTTTGCTTAATTTCAATGGAAAGATAAAAATTGTCACTGTTCGCATAATGTTTCTTATGTAGACATCCATAGCACCTTATTCTATGGCAGATATCCATGCTACAGATATCACAATAGATATACAGATAAGCAAGTTTTCAGCCACAGATGACATGCTGTTCACAACAGCACAAGTACTTAACAAACTAGTAGTTTCTAGCAACAACACCTTCCTTATGCTGGCCTTTTCTGAGATCTTCTGCAAGAGCTTTAATTTCCAGCTAAAAAACGGGAGCTAATGGACAAGAGGGCAAAAGTGCCACCTCCAAGGCTGGGCCAAAGGTCGGATAGGCCCTTTCTGGTCTACTGGGTTGTTAATGTGTCACATCCTTCAGCAGCAGATATGAACCTAATACCAACAATGCCAGAGACACTGCCACTGCTCAGCCACAAGGGTACCACACTGGCTAGAGTCGCACTACGTACCCACAGCAAAGTCATCCTTGTAAACCCAGAATTTCCCATGACAGCTCTCATGGGGTGTACAAGCCGAAAGCCAATTCTTCCCTTTGGCTTACCCAGCGAGACATCCCGCTGGACACTGCAGGGCAGCCACCACCAGCACTAGGTAGGCTCTGTATTGCCTTATTGTCACATTGCAGAAAGGGCAGAGCAGCCCATATCCTCCTGTCTCCATTTCAGCTTTCCCATTTCCCTCTGACCTCAAGCATTAGGCAGCAGCCACAGTGCTGTCTGTACATACAGTATTAGGAGCCCTCCGTTTCAAACGCTGACTTGGACGGGTGCCACACACCCCCTGGAAGCATCTGCATTTGAATTTAAAGGGGTGGGTGAGTGACAGCAAAACTAGCTTCTTCTTCTGACAAGGCTTTGGCAGATCATTGGTTGTCATCAAACCTATTGCGTTTCTTGCTCACTGCCAAAAATTCCACCTACATGCCTGATGGCAATTAGTCCTTTGTAGGTGCTAATGAATAAAAGCAGCACGCACACTTTACAGGCTTAAAAAGAATATCCCAATCCATATATTAATTCCATATATAAACTCACATGCACACAGTCCCCCCTTCCCCTATCCACATGCCACTGCGCACCCACACCCAAACTCGTGCTTAGAAAAAAAAAGCAAGTAGCAGTAAGATGATCATCCAACTGTGTGCAAGTAGGGTTTTTCTCATGAATCATTACCTGTTTTTCCATAACTCATCTACTGCAAAAAGTATTGCTTTATGAATGCAGAAGGCATCCTACATTTAGGATAATGAAGTACATTCATAGCATGCTTGAACCTTTCAAAGGTCCAGACATTTCACACACTCCCTCTAACTGTGATTTTTCTGCGGTGCCCAAAATCATCTGGGATACGACAGTATGACATAACCACGCTTCAGGCAAGTACACCAACAACTTCCATAGAAGGGAAAAATGGATAAAAGAGGGGCACCGTGAGACTTCAGCACCAAACTGAGCATTGTTTTCATGTTTGTGTGATTCTGGGGCTTGTGTTTTATGTCAGTTTCAGAAGAAAAAGCATCAAAACAGTAAGAGGAAATACACTCTATGTAAAGCTGGTTAAATGGTCCTTACTAACTATTCCCATCAGCAAAAAACTTAGTTTTATCTAAAGCAAACCATTGTATAGGACTGCATCACCTCCAAAACCAAAAACTGAAGGGGAAACACTGCATTAACTTTCATATTAATGCTACATATATAAAGAGAATTAGGTTTGAGACACAAAACAGAATAAGTTGAATGCTAGAAAAAAAATGTTTAAAGCATTCTGAAAACGATAGCATACTTTTCCCTCAGACTATTCATTTTGCATGAAGTTTTAGCTCTCAGTTCAAACTTACAACATTTCTTAAACAAGGGAATTTCCCAACCACTTTTACAGTACTCATGAATTAATCAGAAGTAGAGCGTTCAGTATCTTACCATGACATCCGCAGACCACATTTCAGACTCCAAAAGCCTTCAGAAGGTCAGTTTTAAGTCAGCACACTGTAAAAAAAAATACCTTACTTCAGCCGCACCAGCTTACACTAGGTTTTACTTTTCTCTGCTGCCTGGAGGGCAGACAGGAGCAGTTGAAGAAGGCAGCTAACAGCTCGGAAGCTGAAACAAAGCAGGCCCAAGCTAAATGGCACTGCCAGCCATCAGCTGTAATAGGCAGCAGCTGTTTTGCCTGCATTTAAATTGTCTAAACCTGCAATTGGTAGGGGCTTTCATGCTTTCCAGCTGATGCTCCTCAAGTCACCTGCAGCAGCACCATACTCACACCAGCCACCGCACAGCTGTCTTGAGTGTGGGGTTGTTTTACCTGTTGTATTTGGTTTTACACAGGCAGAGAAATCAGGCAAGAAATCTTAAGCACTGCCAGTGCAGGTGAGGACAGCATTCACATGCAGCTGTGGAATAAGGAGCTTATCTACAGCATTTTCTGCTCCTCTCTACCACAGGGATACATGGCCTCTTTTTTATGGTTGTTGCATCTGGGCAACTCTTTTGCTTTGTAAGAGATTTTCTGCAATGGAGGTACCAGGGGTGAATGGAGGGCAGAGACAAATGTCAGAATGTTCCCTTGGGAGAGGCCTTAGATGCAGTGTCCTCTTACTTTAGTTTCCAGAAGAGGTCTGTAAGCTTTATGCCAAACCAACACTTTTTAGAATTAATCTGAACTGGGCAGGGAGCATTTTTTCCATTTTAATTCCTTTACTTTCAGCCCACAAGAGGATCACTGTTCCAACCATTCTGATCCATAGAATATCCACAACTGCAGCAGGGATCAACAGCACATGCACATTGGTTTTTGGTTGGTTTTTTTTTTTCTTCTTCAAACAATTCTCCTCCAACTTCCACTTGCAGCGGAGGAATTCAGGCCAAAAAAAATCTGGGCATTTCTGTCTCCTGTAGCACATCAAAGTTAACTGTACCAGCTACTTCAGCAAACACAGGTGCCCAAATATAACAGTCAGCATAACACGGATGATAAACACCTCAGTGCTCTGAAATGCTCTTACACTACTACCTTACCCAGGTTACAGGGGCAGGGAGGATCTTGCTGCCAGGGTAGGCAATCAGGCAACTTCAGGAGCACCACAACTCTCACCACAAAACCATCCTTCAAAGGGCTGTTTTCATCACAGATGTTGAAGTAGAGTTTCTCCACATGAAGTTACACTAATATGCACTGGGGAAAACCCCAAGCATACAGGGATGGCTGTGCCTCCAGGTGAATCCAACATCTGTGCTTTGAGGATAGCTGAAGGTTTCAGGTGCTCCTGACGATGCAAAGCAGGCTCCTCTGCTTGTGCTGCAGGGACAGGCACCTTCTCCATGAATTCCAAAAGCTCCGGCACATCTCTTCTAAGTCCTAGACCTAGGTATTGCCTTCTCTCAGCCTAAACCAGCTAAACCCCTTGCCCTTTTGTTGCTCCAGAATGCTCTAAACCTTGGGCTATAGCCCATAGGCAGGATGGTAGGTTGCAGCATGGGCAAGGCGACAGGACTCCTCCACCCGGGCCAGCAGCAGGCAAGACACCAGCTCTGTGGCCTGATGGGCAGCACAAACGACTCAGAGGGGGAAAACTGCTTCCTGAAATTACCCCAGGATAAGCTTCTTTTAATTCAATGACTGTTTAATGTAAAATGCATTAAAAGCTTAGGAGCAAAATGTGAAAACATATGGAGTGAAGATGTTTAGGCAAATTGATAAATACAGCCCTACCTCCCTGGAAAGTCTTACAAAAGTCTTAGAAGCAACTTGGATTTAAATATCCCCTCAGCTTTCATTGTCCCCTGTTTACCTCTAGACAGCTTTGGGGAATGTCAGTGCTTGGAATACTGTGTTTTTTTAGGTTTTGAATACCCCCCGAGTTCCACTTATTTGAAGAATTGTCAAATTATCAAGGTCATAGATATAATCCCAGTGTTTACAGAAAACCTAAACTTTTAACTGGCATGTCTTAACACTCAAAGGGGAGTTTGGTTGCGTCTGATGTTTTATCTGTACTCTCCATTCAGAATCCCACAACTACATGACTACATTTGTAATCTCCTGATCTCTTTGAGTTGTAAAAGTTTGCTATTTTCTCCCTCGCTGAGTGGTTGGTAAAATGGAATGATAAAAATAAAACAAAGGCAAAGAAAAACATTAAAGTAATATTTCAGGAAAGCAATATCTTTCAAAGCATTTTTAATTTTTACTTGATTCAAAATGACTTCACATACAGTAACCACTCAAACCCACTGACTCATCTTCATGTCCACATGCGTTCTTTAAAAACAGAAAACTTTTCCTTTCTCTTTTTAATGTTCAAAACACAACATTTTTCTGGAACAGATTTGCCTTATTTGAGCAAAGTGCCACATTTCTGTAATATTTAAACACTATTTCAGCTATTTCAAGATATGACTAATAGTCAATAGGCAGGAAAAGTTACCATGCCCATGTTTTTGTCCAGTACCAGTGACATGACTGTGAACCATCCTGGTATGTGCTGTTTGATAACAACTCATGACTGAACAGTATTTCTTGCTTTCTTAGTTACGAGTTTGGTTAGCAGCTTTGCTCACAGGAGCTGACTGATACAAAGTAATGAGGCAAGGCTGTAATCTTGGGCTAATATTGACTTTTTCATGCTTCACTTGTTGTTCTTTTGTCTTAATTTAATGTTCTCCATCTCAAACCTTCCGCTTTTAAACCTTCTGAAAAACCACCTACTCTGGTAGCTCAAAGAATCCAGCCCCCTGTAAAGAACTCAGTGCTTTTAAGTCAGCTTTTACTTTTCTATTTTTCCAGCAGCACATCTGTCTCTCACAGGTTTTAAGTGTCTTTGTAACTAATAGAAGAGGAACCTCAAAAAGTTCTCTTTGCTTTGGCTCAGTCAAAGGCTTTGGTTTCTAGCTGCTTGTTCAATCCTCCTGGAACTGCAAAAATAGAGGGGAAATCTCAGGATGTTTCACTGTGTTTTTGTCACCTCCCTGTATCCAGTAGGAAATTTCACAAGAGCTTTCTTTATAGTAAACTGACATTTCTGTTAATGGATCTACATCTTAGCTGTAGACTTAGCTGCAGACTTACACTGGCCAATTTAGCTGTAATCATCACAAGACCTAGAGCAGAGATGGAGGAATAACAGACCACCCGTATCTCACGTCTGCTACTTTGGAGGAGAAAATTTGATTACTGAGTTTAATCCAAGAACCCAGGATTTCCATGCAGATAACAGACACTGTGATAGAGTGATTTATTTTTTATTTTCCTTCAAAATCCTTGATCTTTATGAGCACAATGTGGTTGGGAATTGAACCTCTGGTGTTTGCTATCTAGAAGTTCTCTGGAGATGTAAATGTATGATTTCGAGCATATTTTTATTTTGGTAGCATGTTTTCCCACTCAAATGACAAAACCAGAACAGTTCGTGCAGAGATACACACTTCAGGCCCCATGTGCTGGAGAAGACACATGAAGAAGAGTCAGCACACAACAGTGTTATGAGGTTACTCCACTATCTTGATCATTCTGCTTACAAGCAAGGAACATGAACACGTGCCATCTAGTCACAAGTATATAATGCCTAAACAGCAAGACCATCTACGTTGACTATAGGCATAGCTGGGCATGTGGGCAAGGCATACATGTACAAGGGTCCACAAATTATGAGGATAAACTGACCAGTTATGGCTGGCAGTGATTTTCCCCACACCCCAGCCAATGCCATTTGTTCCACCACTGGCTGATACTACCTACCATCTGAACAGTGTGCCAGCCTCACTCATCTCAAAGTCCACCAGTAAGTGGCATGCAATGAGTTCTCACTGTTTCCACAGTTTCAAGAACCTAATAATAACTCTGGTCATTATTGGATTTAGAAACAGATTATTTAGTCTTGAAAAGGCATGAGAAGTCCATACAGATGTTTAATACCTCAGAGCAGAGCATCAAATCCAATAAATCCTTAGTCCAGGGCAATGCAATTCCATTAGTCCCTAGGATGTGGAGAACACAAGAGCTGCTTTTCATGCATCTTCAGCTTCCAAATCATAACATCTACACAAATGTTGTATGTCTCTGTAGTTATCTTCTGTACAGTCTGTTAAAAGAGTCAATAGGTAGTCAAGAGTATGAGAAGATTTCTAAAGGTGGAGAAGCACTGACTGGTGCTAAACAAACTGGCAGATTTACACCAGCTAGGAAGCAGAATTTTTGTTAAGTAATACTCATATTTAGGAGCATAGTCATTTATTCTTACTATGAAAATTCTCAGTGATATCCTCTGGTTTCACCTGTAGCTAAATCTGCCCCCTGAATACCCATGTCCAGCAATTGTACTGGCCAGTTCCACACTCAGCTGCCAATGGTACATCTATCTCATGGTTATAATGAGATTGAAGTTACCTGGGAAAGAGAAGGCCACATTAGGTCATCTGGATGTCTGAGATGATAGACTGTGGTGCCGACTGGAGAACAGAATATGAACAGAAGAAAAAGAAAGGCTCTCAAGCAAACACCTGCATTTACATTTATTTAAAGTTACCAGATTTAGAATAATGTCCTTCCAGTTACCTTGGACTGATTTTCAAAAGGTCCAAATGTACACCCCTCCACTGTGTCTTCCATCAAATAGATCACAAATGCTACCAGTTGATTTACAATAGCTAATGCCTGCTTTATTAAAGCTCTAAAAGACAGTGCTGTTCAGCTTGTTTCCACCGTCATTTACAAGAGTCTTAGGTATAATGGCAAAAATACTCTAGGAAGATGCATTAAAGCACAAATGAAATCAATAAATCAAGGTTTTGGTCTGTTAGCAACTACACCTCCTGATGATATGCATTCTTTCTTTACCCTTTTCCAAGGCAGAGCTTAATTAGGTACGGCAAACATGTATTCCCCAGCCTGCTGAGAGCTAGAAATGGATCCAGAGCAGAATTCAAACACTCTGCCTCACACCTCGCCCAGTGCAAAAAAATCTTCATACTTAACACAGGCTACAGGTGAACAGTAATCTTTCTCCACAGTGCAGGTCACCTCCAATCCTGGTGTATTATTTCCTAACTACTGTTAGGAGTTCTTGAAAGAGCTCAGCACATAAATCACGTATAACCAATGAAGTAATTTTCTTACCAGGTGT